TTTTACCTTACTAAATTAATAAATTTTGATCCTTCATTTTTCGTCATAATACTTTTATTATGATATTTTTAACTCTTTACATATTATAATTAAAAAAAATAATTTCATTTTATAATATTTTATTAATTTTATTAATTAATTATTAACTTTATTAATTTTATTAATTAAAAATAAGTTTTTATCAATTAACAATTAATTAATAAAATTAACATGATTATTATGTTAGATAACTGTTTACTTTATTAGTTAAAAATAAATTTTTATCAACTAATAATTAATTAATAATCAATTAATAAAATTAATAAATAACTAATAAAACTAACGAAATATTATAAGTATGAGTTATTTTTTTTAATTCTAATAGACAAAGGATTAAAAATGTCATAATACCATATAAAAGGTTAAAATCTTTTAATTTAGGAAGGGAAGGGCTAAAGATATGCTTTTACCAAATATATATAGAATTATAAATGTATGATGATAATAGAGAAAAGTATACAAGATTTTATAATTCTTTTAGCAGGATATATAGAATTAATGAGGAAAAAAAAAAAAAAGACTAAAAAGAAGAGAGAAGGAAAAAGTGGAGTGATGAGAAACAGAAGGAAAAAAGGGAGCTCCCTTCAGTCCAAGCACAGAGAAGACAAGGGTGAAATTTATCTGCCGCATCATTCACACATTCACAGCAGCAAATAAGTTTTGATGATCTGATGTGTTTGAATGAATGAGTCGGCAGCTAATTCAAACCCTAAACCTCATCCATGAGTGGACTGAAGGAAGCTCTCTTAAATCGTTTCCTTCCATCTCATCTCTTTGTTATTTAATTCAACAAAAACACAAAGATGAAAGATCCAATATCCTTGTTATTAACCTGTACTCCACCTGCTTAGTAGTAGTAGTATATATATGAAAAGGTAGTTGCAAATTTGAAATTGCTAAAAAAGGTAGTAATTAATTAACTACTACTGTACAAATTAAGAAAAGAAAAATAAAAAAAGGGGGAAAAATGAACCCTAACCCTAAATAGTGTGTTTTCACTTGCCAGGTGACTACTGAAAAGGCTAATTAGACATCTAAATTGCTAAAAGAGCAGAAAACCGTACCGACTGGGAGGGAGTTAGATAGCCTACATCAGTCGCACTCCACAGATCGATCAATCATCGTTTCTGATGAAGATCCACCCTTTTTTATCCAGTAATAAGATATTAGAAATTAACACCAGAAAAACAGAAAAAGAATAACGTAGGATTAGGAACACCCAGCTTCCTAAAAAAGAGAAGCTACAACATATAAAACCCCTCATATTGAATATGTTTTTAGTTGTTTCTTACCAGTTGTGGGCAGGGCAGCACAGCTTACAGTGTTTCAGGAACCCTAAATCTGCCTCTTCACTGACCATAATCAACCTGCTCTCTCACACTTGTTATATATATGGTACAAGAAATTAATAAATGAAAGGTAGGAAAGCTAAGTTAGCAAAGATGAAGTTAATAAGGAGAAGATGGAGGGACATGTCGCTGTCTTCATGAGAGTCAGAGAGGGGAAAGCGAGTCTATAAAATC